CGAAAAAGATTGGTCATTACATTCTGAACACCGAGGCTCATTAAAATGAGAAAGCGGGATGATGATGGCATCACCGAGGGTCTTCAAGAAACACAATCACGACTTGTTCAGCTCCTCGCCTCCGCTGACGGTAATTGAAGTGACCTATGATGGCATGGAGATTGTGCTCTCTTCACTGATGGTTTGTGTAGATGGGATCGTTGTTGTATCTTCTCGAGCGCTATAGTCTGGAGGGTGGACCGCACCACTTATTTCAGCTTATTTCAGCTGTAATTTTTCAGTGAAACCCCCATCTTTGCCATAATGGCGTCTGTGTTGTTCTTGCCTAGATGATGATTGTGGAAGAACAAGGCCATTTGTGCAGATCCAAATTGACTCTGGTTTACATTATTTTTATTGAAAAAAAAAAAACTTTATGAATGTGTTTATAGGACCTCAAAGAGATTTGCTACTCCAGCTTTGTTTTTATCCGTGGCAGTTTGTCTCTCGGCCAAAACAGATGGATGTGTTTGTGATTTATTAGGTTTGAATATGGACACAATGAATGACTCACAAGCGTCAGTCTTCAATTCAATAGGTCAAACCGATAACTGTTACCTTGTTGTGAACATACTGCCTGTGAGATTTGTTCATGACAACATGTAGGTGGTCAGCGTTGCTCATTCACAACAGATTTTTAGTAATTAAATGGAGTTTTAATTTAAAAATATTGAAATATTTCAAATATACTAAGGTATTATTAAAAATTATTATTATTATTATTAAAAATTGCAAATATTAAACTTTTAATAAATGAACTACTAAAATTACTGCTTTATGATATACTGGGTGGTTCCCAGGCTTCTGTGTATCATTAAAGGCATAGAATTATTATGAAAAATATTGAACAATTGAAAACACTTGATTTTGTAAATTTTTTAAATTAAAGCTATTAAAAATAAGTTTTTTAATATTAATCATTCAGTTTTTGTATTAATAATTTGATAAATGTAATGATTTAACAATTGAATAAATTAACGTGAATAAATATATATATTTTTAATATCTAAAAAGTAAACTACTAAACATAGTACTTTGTTCTGTAAGGTTGCTAGGGTATTCTGAGTGGATATTTGGATGCTATGTGATTTCTAGGGTGTTCAAAGTGGTTACTGGGTGGTTGCTATGGGATTCTGGGTGGTTCCCATGGTTTCTATGGTATTCAAAGTGGTTGCTAGGGTATTTTGGGTAGTTTTCAGGCTGTTATGTGGTTTCTAAGGTGTTCTGTATTGGGTGGTTGTTATGGTATTCTTCTGGATGATTGTCAGGCTGATATGTGGTTTCTAGGATGTTCTGTTCCTAGGTGGTTTCTAGGGTATTCTGGGTGGTTGTCAGGCTGCTATGTGGTTTCTAGGGTGTTCTTTGCGATTGCTAGGTGGTTAGGAGTGTGTCTTTGCTAGGGTGTTCTGGGTGCTTGTCAGTCTAATGTAGTTTCTAGTGTGTTCTGCATTGTTACTAGGTGGTTGTTGTCAGGCTGCTATGTGGTTTCCAGGGTATTCTGTTGTTACTAGGTGGTTGTTAGGGTATTCTGGGTTGTTGTCGGGCTGCTATGTGGTTTCCAGGGTGTTCTGTTGTTACTAGGTGGTTGTTAGGGTATTCTGGGTTGTTGTCAGGCTGCTATGTGGTTTCCAGGGTATTCTGTTGTTACTATGTGGTTGTTAGGAGTATTCTGTGTCATTGCTGGGGTGTTTTGGTTTCTAGGGTGTTCTCTGGTTGTTAGGTGATTGTTAGCATTCCTTGTCATTGCTAGGTTATTTTGGGTGGTTGTCAGTCTGTTGTGTGGTTTCCGGGGTATTCTGTTGTTACTAGGTGGTTGTTAGGAGCATTGTGTCGTTGCTAGGATGTTCTATGTGGTTGTCAGGTCACTACGTGGTTTCTAGGGTGTTCTGTGTTTTTAGGAGTGTTCTGGGAGGTTGCCAGTGCTACTACGTGGTGGTATGTGGCGGTTTTAGTTTGGCATTGTTCAGTGTAAACTCATATGTCCTGTGTGACTGTGTTTGATCCGTCAGGACAGCGAGCGAATGATATCAGAGGCCTTTCAGGAAGTGACATCAGCCGCTAATGACCCACAAATGGCTTCCTCTGGAAGTGCAGTGTCATGTTGCTGAGACACGCTGACCGTAAGCGCTTACACCTTTTATTCTTAGGCATATTAAAGTGTTATCGATCTGACAGATATATAATATATAGAAATATGACAGAGAAGCCGTCCCGCTCAGACCGATGAGGAAACATCTCTGTTTGGTGCAGTTAGAGAGGATTAGACTGGGACAGAGTTGGCATAACCTGTGGGAGCACTAAACGCTGACCGCAACACTTTAAACTAGATTTACGAGCGTTTTTAGAGCGCGCTAATGTCGTTAGAATGCTCGGGACTCTTTCCTTTAGTGGAGGAGCTTTAGAAACCATAGATTAGATGCGAAAAATCACCCTCCGTCTGTCAAACGTTATTTACGCGCAGATAAAAACAAGAGGCACTCGACGCAGAACAATAGCGCTAAAGTCCCGCGCGAACAACACAATGCACAGAACGCAGTGCTCTTTCTTTCTCTCTGATTTAATAGATCCTTGTGCCGTTTGACTCTACATGGGAAGGAAAGTTGTCAGCTTGACCTTTGCTAGCAGCAGTCATTACGCCACAGCTGAGTGATGGCGCGGTTGTTTCGGCACACTTGTTAAACGAACACTTCTGTGTTGTTAATGGTGTTAGTGGTGTACTGACTGTGAGTGAAGGTCATATTCATAATGAAGGATAAATAAAAACTTGCCCAGCAGAACTATGAACAATAACACACTGCACATCAGTTGATATTGTTAGCATTGTTGAAATTCAACAATTATAAAAAAAGTAGTGCTGTCAAACTATTAATCGCGATTAATCGCATCCAAAATAAAAGTTTTTGTTTACATAATATATGTGTGTGTACTGTGTATATTTATTATGTATATATAAATACACACACAAGCATGTATATATTTCAGAATTTTTTTTTATATATTAAATATTTATTTATAATATAAATTATATGAATATAAATATAGACATGTAAATACAAGTAAATATTTTTAAAAATATATACTGAATGTATGTGTAGCCTATTTATATAAACATAATAATTATACACAGAACACACACATATATTATGCGAACAAAAACTTTTCTTTTGAATGCGATTAATCGCGATTAATCGTTTGACAGCACCCATAGCAGATCTATACAGGTGGAGCTGGGGAAGGTGGAGGGTTTCA